GGAAAGAGAAAGAAAGGAAGCAAAGAGAAAGAAAAAGAAAGAAAGAAAGGGAAAGAAAGAAAGAAAGAAGGAACCATTAGAGAAGTTATTGGGGAAAGTCTACCACCTTCCATCAGACAATTATTACTTCTTGCCTGGACTATTGAAATAACATCCTTACTGGTCTCTCTATGTCTAGTCTCTTTCCCCTTTTCCTTATTCATCCTGCACATTGCTTCCAGATTGATATTCCTAAACTAGGATATTTGTTGTTCTTCAACTTGTCATAGCATCACATAAAATTCAAGTACGTGCACAGAAATCCCCTTTAAAAATCCCCTGGTGGTCATCCAGCCTCTGCCTGAAGACCTCCAGTGATTTCCTGATATTAAGCCAAAGCCTACCTCTTTGGAACTTTCACTTCTGGTTCTTCCTGGGGTGAAGACGACCTAATTGCTCTCGCCTATGATAGCCCGTAAAAATACTATAAGGTAGCAACAAAATCTTGCTCTCCCAAGCCTTTTCTTCTCCAGGCTAAACTTCTTTAATTCTTTCACCTGCTCACCGTATGGCATAATGTCCTATTCTCTCAGCATTCCAATTTCTCTCCTGAACACATTGTGGTGAGTCAATGTTCTTAAAATGTGACATGCAGAACTGCATACACTACTTCAGACACAGTGCAGAGTACAGTGGGCTGTCATGCCTCTTGTGGATACTGTGCCTCTGTTCATGCAGACTAAGGTCTCACCAGCTTTTCTGGCACCCCCTTCCCCCCAATGAAATAACCTATATTATTGATACAAATTGTGCTTTCAGTTTACTAAAAGCTCTAGGTTTTTCCACACGAATTAACCATTCCTTCTCTATCCTATATTTGTGCAATTAATTTTTTTGAACCTGAGAATAGTATTTTACATTTATTCCTATCATTCAATCAATAAGCATTTCTTAAATACATAACATGTGCCAGGCATTGTATTTCATACAAAATTTAAACAGCTCCTGCTTTCAAGGATTTTACATTATACTCATCTTATTAGCTTTAGTCTGTCAATATCTTTTTGTTTTGTTTTAATGTAAAAATTAAAAGTTTGTTTGTATATCAATAAATCCAATTATTTTATTTTGTCCCAATATTTTTTATACCACTGCATGTGATGAAGTTGACAATAGCCTATAAATTTAATCAGCTTTTGCATCAATATTTAGGAATTTAATTAGAAAGTAGGACATGAGCTGATGGTGAAAAATGTTTAAAAATAAGATTTGAGATCAAGAAACCAGAAAGATTAGTAGCTTGCAGACTATTTAAAAAATTATACTAGAAAATTATGGACACATATATTGAATATATTTTCAATATCTTTTCAGATACTGAGTTTGTTTTTAAATGTGTGTTCCTCCCAGCTTTGGGAAAAATCATTTCCAAATTTGATATGTATCCCATCTTCATCCAAATCATTGATAAAAATGTTGACCAACACAGTGCCAATGATAGATCTATATGATCCAACAAATTTGCTATGGGTTCACTAATAACTATTCTTCGGGTTCAGTCATTCATCCACATCTACCTAACTGTGGTCTTAAAGAATATATAGAGTTTCTATGGTGGGTGCAGATGAATCCAAGATGACATTACTATCCAAGGGAGTGGAATGAGTATAGAGAGCTGTGATAGCAGAAGTGTAGAAAGTATGTTCAAGGGACAAGTAACCCTATTTGGTTAAAATGTAGAATATACATATGGAAGTAATAGAAGTTAAAACTGAAAAGGTATGGTGGGTCTATATTGTGGAGTGCCTTGAAAGGAAGGCTAATGAATTTGGATTTAATGAAATAAACTATGAAGAGCCATTAAAGGTTTTGTAGTAGGGAAAATGACATGATTCAAACTGCATTTTAGGAATACTAACCTGGCATCAGTAAAATAAGATAGGTTAGAGCAAGGAAGGCCTGGAGCCTAACTAAGCAGTTAATAGCTTATTGCAATAGTCAAAACAAAAGGCCTTAAACTAGAATCATGGTGGAAAGGGGACAGTTTAGAGAGTTTATCAAGGTAGAATCAGTAAGATGATGTTAGATTGGAAGATGAGAGAGCATCAAATGTATCTGAGGTTTTGCACCTTGGAAATAAGAAAATCAGGTGTAGAAACTAGTTTGGGGAAGAAGGTGATTTTAGATATGTATATTTTCAGATACCATTGAAATATTTAGATATTAATGTCCTTCAGGAGGTTGGAAATATAGTTCTATAGCTTGGGAGAAAGGTTAAAGCTTGAAATACAGGTCTAAGAGTCATCCAAATCAAGGTAATCACTTAAAACACAAGATTGGGTAAGGACTCCAAGGGACAAGATGTGGTGAGAAAATGGCCAAGTATGAACTCCTGGGGAATGTGTTTATTTGGGGTATATGAAAAGGAGGCAGAAAGGAATAGTCAGAGAGTTTGAAAGACTCACGAAAGTCAAGGGATAACAGAATTGCACTAATACTTATCAGGGGATCTTTGTTCCAGATAGCACTGGTTTAGATGAATCCTAAGGTCCCTTCTAACACTGAGATTCTGTGATTCCATGAAATGTAAAAGAGAATTCAAAGAAGATGAATACTGAGAAAAAAATAGATTTAGCAATTGAGAGGTCATTGGTAATTGTCAAGAGAGTAATTTCAGTAGAGTGGTGGGGACAGAAGCCAGATTGCGTAAGCCATATTTGTATAGTATTTTATGATTTAAGGGGTTTAAGAATGAGTGGGCAGTGATGACATGGTATCCGGGAAAGGAGTGATTATAGCCTGGATTTAGAGCTGGATGGGGTCTTAGTGGTCAAATAGGCCGATCCCATCATTTTACAGATGAGGGAACTAGGGATCTGAGAAGTTAAATTATTTTCCAAGGTCAAAGTAGCAGACCTAGAATTCAAATCCAGGCTTTCTGACTAAACTCAGGGATTATTCCATTGCACCACATTAACAATATTAAATATGGAGGGAGGCCAAAAAGAATCAAGATTGAGAAATGAGCATTGAAATTGGCAAAAAGATGGTGACTAATGAACTTTTGTAGTGTGTTTGGATATCTGTCTTGCCATATGGAATGGACCCCATTCTGTATAGCATTCCATAAGGGTGGCAAAAATTAGGTGGATTTCCAAATACTTCATCAAGTACTATATGAATTCCTACTAGGCAGAGTTCTGTACTAGGCCTTCACTGGACCAATCAGTCAATTAATCTATAAGCATTGATTAAGTGCCAGACACTGCCTAGGTTCAAGGGGTACAAATAAAAAGAATGAAATATGTACAAGGAACCTAAAAGTCATGCACACATATAAAAATGACCAATGACTTTACTGTTCCAGTTCTGTATGTCCCTCCATCCTCTCTTTACCTACTGGTATTCTGTTCATTGTTTCTTTCCTAACTCAAATATTCCCTCCTCTAGCAAGTCTTCCCTACTGTCCCAGCTAATAAAAACCTTTCCTCCCTTGGACCTCCCACCATACTGTTTTGTACCCTGCTAATTCAATTTATCTTGTATATATCTTGTTTGTAATAATTATTTTCATGTTGTCTCCCCTATTAGTATGTGAATTTCTTTAAAATAGTGACTTTCTTTTACCTTTCTTTGTATCACCTGGGCTTAGCGCAATGCCTGGCACATAATAGGAGCTTCATAAATGCTTATTGATTGATCATGTACTATTTTGTGCTGTACTTAGAGTATGTATATATACATGTATATTCATATTAGTAACTAATTAGTAATTAGTAGTATATTCATATTAGTAACTAATTCATATTCATACTATACCATGTTATATAAACTTTAAGATTAGCATGGTACTCTGTACCCAGTAAGGATTTAATAAATGTTTGTTAAAACTCGTATATTATATGCTTTATTGGTCAAGTGTAGACAGTTCATCTGACTTAAAATAAAATAGTCTAGTCTAATAAGGAAATGTTCAAATGAATCCATGATCTAATCTATTTGGAAGTTCCTACTGGTGATACAGATTTTAACCCATCTGTCATTGCCTGTTCTTTGCAGTTGTTGTCCATTTTTTGCTCTAAATGTTTCCCAAAGAGAGTGTACTCAATGTGCTGGAAGCCTTCTTTCTTTTCTTAGAAATATTAAAGTAAAAGAAAACTAACAGATGTTTAAATAAAATACAAAAAAAGCCCCCAAGAAAGTAAACTGAATAACAACATTGTATGTGCTACTATGTAGAACATTAGACCCAGCCAAGGTCTCATGCTATAGCACCATTTACAAATAAAATATTTGTCAGATAAATAATAATAGCTGAAATTTCTGTAATGTTTCAAGTTTTGCAAAGTGCTTTCTGTATATTAGCTCATACGAGCCTCATAACAACCTCCTGAGCTGGTAGTCTCACCATCTTTACAAAAGAAGAAATTAGGGCTCACAAGAGTTAAGTGATTTCCTCTTGGTAACACAACTAATTAGATATCATTGATGGCATTCAAGCCCAGGTCTTCCCTGACTATAAGCCCAGAATTTCTGTCACTATGACATACTTGCTGTCTCTCTAATTTCACCAAATTAAGGCCCAAGCCCATGAAAGGGATCAGAAAAGAATTGATAGGGAACATTACATAAAATTTGTCTGTTCTTTAATAAAACAATACGCTAGTGTTTAAAGGATATGTGATTTTTTTTCCCATATGGGAACTACCAATATTAATATTATCCTCTCTATGCCTTAGATCCATAAGTTGCTATGGCTAAAAGATTCTTCATTCTATGGCCAATCTAAGGATTAGCTTGGCTGATCCCCAGCCAATATATACAATCCACGGTACTGGGCCCATATTCAGCTTTTTCCACTTTCCAACTCCCAACCTTTTAGAATTTATTCCTAAATTGTGTAGCCATCAATACTGCAGGGTCCTATCTACAACACAGCAAGGCATTCGAATAGCTCTTCAGATCAAGAGCAAAATCTTAACCTATTAATATGTGCTTTTTATCTCTTTTTTGCTCTCCAGGCAAATAGATCAGAGGACCTTTGGGTTGAAGAAAGATTTCAGGCTCATACTGTTCGGGTGCGTGATGTGGAACTTCTCACAGGACTTGACTTTTACCAAGACAGCAAACAGACTGTCTCTGAGATCTTACAGCTAAAAACATTCCTGCCCATTTTTGAGACTCAATAATGGAATATAGAAATATGATTTTGGAGAATATGGGTAATCAGCTGTTCCCCTGCTACAGGTTTACACAATGAAGATAGTTATTATTTCTTCTTTAGCATTAAAGCTACACTGAGTTGTCATTTCTTCCATCTTTTGCTTTTAATGTCTTTTTATGGACCTCTCAGCCTATGTTTCTCCAGTGTACCCCGGAGAAAACAGAAGGAACAACTCCCATTTTGAGATTAAATCTGTACCATTTGAGTTTCACTGTAAAGTAAACAAATAGGATACTTTGCTCAGAACACAAGGACCCAAACTATATGGTTTCTTTTCCAATATCCAGCCATCTTTTGTGAGCTGTTTACACAGTGTGGCAACATTTCACTGACCTGAAGGCACATTGAAACTCATTTGACAGAACTTGATATAGTTTCACAAATTGCCTTGAAAGAATTTTTACTTTGTTTTTTACCAAAATTTCAATCAAATTATGGCTATTAAAACCAACTAATTGTTTCAGAAGACATCTTCTATTCTAACTAATTAGATTTTAAACACTGTAACAACATTAGTTTTAAAAAAATTAATAATAATTATGCTAATATTTATATATATTACTTTAAGATTTATATTATTTAATTTGATCCTCTCAAAAGCTGTTAGATAGCTATTAGTTATTCCCATTTTCAAGATAAGAAAAAGGAAGAATTTGAACCCAGATCTTTCTGACTCCAAGTTCATTTCTTTATCCACTACATTGAGCCACTTCCCAAATGGAAATGGAAGTGTAGAAAGGATTGAAGCATCTTTTTTTTTTCTCGTATAGTTTCAACTTTAAGAAACAGAAGAGATAAGAACCATAGATTTTCCTTCAAAAATTATTGGCTAACTTAATGTCCATATTGGGTAACTTCTTCCATGTTTCAGTCCTTCGGTCTATATGGGTTTACATAAAATATTGCTGATGAAATAGACTATGTAAGCAGAAATTATTGGTAAATTTCCAAATTTGTTTACGAAGAGCCTGAATTCATTAGAATTGGAGATTTTGGGTGTGGCTTTGGTAGGGGATAGGGAGGAGTGAATTTGTTTTACTTTAAAATAGATTCAAATTTTTTTAGAAAAGTTCCACCCATTTTAGAAAAATGCTTTTGTTGTAAAGATGGGGAATGATTCTTCCCAAACAATGCCTTTCAGTTTTACAGTTCAAGAAGAGAAAGACATAGCTACCTGATAATTTAAGCAATGATTTGAATTTATGTAAATTATTTCCCTAGAGCTAATTGACTAAAAAACACATGGAGCATTGTTGGATGCATATTTTAATAATTCAACCCCTGATTCTTCACATAGCTATGGTTTCTAACTTTATGATGGTTAGAGTTTTATTATTTCAGGTAATAAATTTGTTCTTTTTTTCTGTTTGCACTGAAATATTGCAAAGAACAGCAGTTTGTAGAGTTATTTTTCCTCAAATAAATATTTGTTTAAATAAAATATGACTTATTTCTGAATAGAATGGAGCATAGTGCAAGTTGTCACTTTTAAAAGTAGAATTGTATTCATCTAAACAAGCATAAATTATGAAAGGACTTGTAAAATCTAAGATTGATTTGGGGATTGGAATTGAATCCTCCATAGAGAAAGGGGAATTTTCTGTTTAAATGGGGTCAGATAAGGGTTAGGGAGCAAAATTAAAAAGATGGGAAAAACCTATTAGCTGTAACTAAATCAAGGGAATATGGCCATAAAACTTTGCATGTAAATTTGCCTGGTGACTTTTGGGCACCTTCCACAAGAAAACACAAATCCCAAGCACACATCAGATAGTATATCTATAGTCAGAATCAGTGTATTTCTTTTAAAGGGTTCATAGACTCAAGTAGGTGCCAGAAAATAGAAACAAATCAGTGCCCACTGCTGCAGTGACAGGGCATCCTTGCTCACTCTGACGATGTACTTAAGCATACATCTTTCACCACTGGTTTCACTGCAATTTAATTTGGCATATATGAATTCTCAGCTTAGTAAATAATTATCAAGCACCTCCTGGGTGCCAGGCACTGTGCTGGGTGCTGGGAATACAAAGACAGAAACAAAACATCTTTTCCTCAAAGGAACCTTCATTCTATGGGGAGATACTACAGGCACACTGAATTCTCATAAGTATCTCATGGCATTAGGGATGCCAGTGAATGGAGCTTGTTAGGTGTTTGTGTCTATTCTAACAAATTGGACTGATGTCCTTGATGTTGCAACATCCAGCTGGTTTTGGCACATGAGAGTTTGCTTCCAAATTATATTTTGGCTTCTTTTGAATTTCTTTTTGCTCTAGGGAAATTTATCTTTCCTTCCTCCACCCCCACCTTTTTCCCCACACTACCACAATCACGACCACTACCAGTGGGACCACCAACACCACTCATAATCTGTTTACTTTGCAAGAGTTGGGTGTGGGAATGAAAACCGGACATAAACTGAAGCAGTTTTCAAAACACAAACAAGATGGGTGGAAGAAAAGACTTCCTTTCTAAACAGCAGCCTTGGCAGACCACTATCAGTCAGTTGGTGGAGTAATACTTAAGACCGGAACAAACCACAGCCTTTCAAAGCCAGAGATTACATGTTGTTCAGGCTCATTCAAATTTCAAATTAAATGAACCATAATGAGAATTGATTATTAAATAATGCACTGGCTCTTTTGATGTTAAAACTATATATTAAGAACAATTATATATTGAGAATCAAAGGGTTCGAAGAAAGTTCATCTAGTTTATATTCCTGCTTCTGGATAAAACAGACTCAATATGATTTTCTCTAATTACTAGGGGACAGAGAGACAGACACATAGACACACACACACACAGACACACACACACACACACACACACACACACACACACACACACACAAGACCTCTTAACCTGTCATGAGAAACCACTCCAATGCTTTGTAACTCTTCAAAGTACATTCTTCTTAATAAGTAATTATATTGCTATAGTCTATTGCTCCTGTTTTGTCAGTTTATAATGATATCTGTATGGTTTTTAATACTCATTTCTTCATGAATTACTCATTCTTATATAGCAGAGCAGTGCATTTTAAAACTGAAAGGGACATTAGAAATCACCTGGTCCAACTTCCTGTTTGTAGAAATGAAGGAATTATTGACATACCACATTTTTTTGGCAGAAGCAGAAAGAAGACTCCAAATCTTTTGCCTCCCAAATGGATACTTCTATGCCCTTAAAGCATAGGATTATTACTCTTGAAGTTGCTTCTGTTTCTTACATATTAAGCATTTTAGAACTACAACAGATCCCTGAATAGTATGGTTAAGAGAATGCCAGAATGGAGTCAAGATTCCACCTCTCCCTCCTATTAATTTTCTGTCAATGAACAAGTCATTAGCCCTCCCTAAGTCTTAGCTTCCTTTGATAGAGAATTGAAATAATAATAATAATAATACCTTTCTTATTACCATCCCCTCATGGCTGTTGTGATGAGGCTTAAAAAGGCACACGCAGTATTTTACAAATCTTAATGTGCTATTTAACATTCCACTATCACTACATTACTATTCATGTTCAAAGTCTTCCTTCGGCATGAAAGGCATAAGAATGGCTTGCTTTTTTGAGGAGAAGGCTCGGAATTCATCTCCTTGCTGGTAAGGATGTGTCTTCTACATCTTTGCATTATTAACATGGTGCTGTTCCTATGGTAAGGTGCTCCATGAATATTTGTTAGTAGAAGCTAAGCATCAGTGTGGCCTCACTAACAGGTACAGGGGTGGGGAACCTGTGGCCTCAAGGTCACATTTGGCCCTCAAGGTCCTCAAATGGGACCCTTTGAGTGAATCCAAACTTCACAGAACCAAAGGATTTGGATTCGGTTTGAATTCAGTCAAAGGGCTGTACTTGAAGACCTAGAGGGCCACATGTGGCCCTGAGGCTGCAGATTCCCCACCCCTGGTTAGAATACCCCTTTTTCACATTTCATTTCATTCCACAATGAACTGCAGGCATATGGGTATTGCTTACTCTAGCTTGTGTGAACAACTGGCTCTCATTATTTATTTACTTTTGGAGAGCAAACATTCTTTTTTTGCCAGCGCTGACCTGACTCCCAGCTTACTTTTCTATTTCTCCTTTGCCAACTAAGTCCTCCCTTTGGGCTGCTAATTGGTAACCATAGAGACAGACAGAACTGGTTGGCAACCTTTTCCCTAAATGTCAGAGCAAAGAAGAAGCCAAAGGAGACTCCAACTTTGTAAGAAATCTCTTGCTCCCTGTAAGGCTGCAACACCTAGGATACTGAAGAAGAAACTCATCTATTTCCACTTTGATAGAGAAACTGTAGGAATCTCGTGAAGAATGAAGACATTTTAAATAAGTCAGCTGAATCCTTTGTCACCATATCTTTAATGGTCACATGGTTAAATACTGTAATTTAAGAAATGAGCAAGATTTCAGAATCAAAATTTCACAGGACTTTTGAGGGCAATTGTGTCTAACCCAAGGGTCATAGAGCTGATAGAAATAATTTTAGTCATGTCTGACTCTTCATGACCACATCTGGGATTTTCTTGGCAAAGATTCTAGAGTGGTTTGCCATTTCCTTCTCCAGCTCATTTTACAGATGAGGGAACTGAGGCAAAGAGGGTTAAGTGACTTGCCCAGGGCTACACAGCTAGTAAGTGTCTGAGGCCAGATTTGAACTCAAGCCTACCTGACTCCAGGCCTGGTACTCTATCCACTGTACCCCTAGATACCCTGGTAGTAATAATAGCTAGCATTTATAAAGTTTTTAAAACACTTTACAAATGTAATCTCATTTGATCCTCACAATGACCTTTTGAAGTAGGTGCTCTTATTAACTCCATTGTACAAATGAGGAAACCAAGGCTGAGATAAGTAAGTAGATTGTCTAGGTTACACAGGTAGTGAATGTCTGAAGCAAATTCTGGTCATTGCAATGCCAACACTCTGTCCTCTAGCCAAGGTGATGTACTTTATAGAGCACCAGAACTGGAGTAAGGAAGACCTGATTTCAAAACCAACCTCAAAAAAAAATTTTTTTTTTAAATTAAAAAAAAACAACCTCAGATACTTAATTGTATAACC